ATTTATATTTTTACCATATAGTCGTGTTGCAACACGACATCGCCACGTAGCTCCTAGATAGATAGTATATATAGAGGCAAGAGTGAAGCCTTCTTCTCTTATCAACTTCTTTTTTGCTTATAGTCTAGTTTCAAGGGTCTCTAGTTTTTTTATCTTTTGGCAATAGCCATTCAAGTTTCTTTCTTAATATACATATTTAGTTATTTCTATTTTGTCATCTTTCTTTGAGAAAAGTCTCACTTGTTTATTTATTTTTATCAAATTCTTGTCCTTGATAATTAGCTATTTATGGTCTTATTGTAGAAAAATTTTCTTTTAATCTTAGTATTATATTCTTCCTTAAAAATAATTGATATCAATTTTGAAATTTATATTCAAATTATATTTATACTTATAAAGATTGATAAATTACAAACAGATTTATTTGAAGAGGAATAGCATGCCTATCAGAAAGTTAATAAGATTCTAAATAATAGAACATCTTACATAATATAGTATTATGATAATTCTAAGCATGGCCATAGATAAATCATTGATTGAACTAAATTCTTGCTTTTCTTTCATGTCTTAGATTTTTTTCATAAATTTTTTTCATGAGATAAAATCTTCTCTTCTAGTAATCCACAAGAATATTAATAAGCAAGTTAAAGCTAGTAAAAAATCATCATTTGTAAATGTGGAGCAAAGAATTGATTGAAGTAATGTAAATATCAAAGAATAAATAATTTAATACTAAAGAATGCATATCATTTCTTATTAAAAATAAAAAAATAAAAAATAAAAAATAAAAAAATGATGCAAGTATAGCATGCAAATGCATTCACTACTTTTGAGTCCAATGCTACAAAAACTTAAAAGAAACAAAGTAAAGCTTTGATCCTAAACTTAATATGTATTGTAATCTAACATATTAATAAACAATATTGGTAAACAAGAGTGGGATAGAGTTCAAATTCAAAATTTTCTTTTGATAGCTTTATTTCCAAAAACCTCCACACAAGACATTGCTCATTAATTGATCAATAGGACCACCATAGAAAAGCATTGCATCCTCCCTAACCTCCTTGCAATTGTGCCAAGTATTAGAGTCTAGACAACAACAATTAGTCAATCAAAGGCCTCCAATTTTTTGAGTGTATGTGTAACAACTTAAAATTTACTAGTAACTTGAGCCTTTATATATTGATAGCTAGAATTTATTTTAAATATCAAAAATTTTACAAATGCTATTACTAAATTTTGGTAGTTCTAATAAGTCAACTATCTTAGATGTATTCCATGTAAACTTAACTAATGTTAAAAGAATAATTTAATTTAATTATCTTCATTATTAAATTCAATAAAAGGCTCTAATTATTAAGAAACTATATAATTAATTTATATAAAATTTTTAATTAACTTTTATAGTAGCTAAATTTTTTTATAAACATCTTATAAATATTATAATATTTTAGAAAATATTTTGTCTTTACAAAACTTACTATAGGATTTAACATATTTTTATTTTTAAAGTTTTAATAGATATAATTTTAAATAAAAAATATATATCTGAAAAGAAAATATATAATTTTTTTAAAAAAATAAGATTTTTTTTAAATAATAAATTTAATAAAAAATACTAGAATATTTTTTATTTAAATCAATGCAAATAAATATTAATAAAATTTAATTGAATATATATTATTAATATATTATTTTTCTAAATACTTTAGATTCTTAAAAACTTCTTTAGTTGGTATCAATATACAATTCAATTATATTACAATATCTTTTATTTTTAATTCATAATTAAAATAAAGTAATAAAAATGATATTAATATTTTAATATTATATTATTTAGAAATCATTTTAAGTCAATATCTTTGTTGCAAAACTATATATTTATTAAAAACCTTGCAACAACATAAAAAAACAAAAACAAAATAAATTTATTTTATTATTATAGATTTATAAATAACTTTAAAATATAATTTTTTTGAATTATATTTATTAGTAGAATTAAATAAATTTAGTATTATTTAATGATAAATAATTTTTTAAATAATCATTCTTATATTATATGTATATATATACAATTCAATTGAGACAAAATGGTGTTTTGATTTACCATATGCATCTTTCTTTGTTTTCATCAAAAGTAAAATGTTGGAGTTCACAAGGCCTTAATAGAACATGAAATTTTGGATGAACAATGTGTTGAACAATATATTTTCTACATACATCTTTTTTTATTTTCATTAAAAGCATTAAAAACAATGTATTCAATTTCTTTATTTCAATGTTTAAATATGTGCAAATTTTGGAGCATATTGAGGAAGTGGTAATTATGGCAGACATTGGTAAGATACAAATATCCCTTAATCACTGATTCCATATTTGCAATTAGATTCACATTTGATAGATTTACTATCAAATTAATAGATTCATATTTTTTTACTTTTCTGAAAATTAATGTATTTCGATTGTGGTATGGCACGTATATATTCCAAATATCAATGTTGAAGAAAATCAGGCAATGAAGAATTGTTTAGCTCCCAAAGAAGAAGTGTTGGAGAGGCATCTTTGAAGAAGGTAATACCATATGCTCATTTTATTTTAAGTTGTACATGGCAACAAGAGTATTACCATTCTATTATTCTTTTGGTTATGGTTAATCATATATTGATATATTTTGCATGTAGATTGGATTGCTTCCAAAAAAAGATAGTTTAGTTGCAAGCAAAGTTGCATTATCAGTTGGATTGCAGAAGTACTAGCACTGTTCAAAGTGGTGTTGAAATTGGAGCTCAATTCTTCTTGAAATGTGGTAGAGATTGTTTTTTTCAAATCTAGCTTGAATAATGGTGGCGGGCTAGCTGATCATGAGGTGGATAGTGTAGCAATAGCATGTATTTTTTTTGAGAGGAGGGGAGAAAAAAGCTCTAAAGAAGAGCTTATTTTGGCCATTCTTTAATATACTTTGGTTTAGTACAAAAGGCATATCTAATTTAGTTGCTACAAACAACTGTAAAGCTTAACTTTTTGTAACTACGTGATATGTGAAGCATCTATGTAAAGCTCAAATTTTGATTGTATCCTCTTCAATGTTACAAAAATATTCTTCTCTTGAGTTGGATAATGAGGTCAATGATTAAAAAAATTGAAGTGATTTTGTTTCATTTTGTATAATAAGATATAACTTGATTGCTCACTTTGAGAGGTTTGCAAGGATTATGCAAGAGTGGATTCATATTAATAGAGATTATTATTTTGAATAATAATTATTTGAATTATGTGCATAAGTTTATAAGTAATAAATAAAAATTTCCTCTTTTAGAAGTACAAGAGTGATTGTAGGAGTTGAAGAGATGACTGAGTATAAATTTATATTGTAGTTAATATGATGTCAACAAATATCTCAATATATGTTAATTTTTGCATATACAAAACTTGTGGCAATAGATCTATTTTTTATTTTTTATTTTTACAAAAAAGAGTGCTTTGAAGATCTGAGAATAAAATGTACAAGTGAGTGGAATTTTTAAACCATTTATCTTTCTTAAAAGTATTTGATTGCATGTATAGATTTGATTTGTTTCCTTTCTTTTCTTAATAATGGGGTGTGATGTGATTAGTGTCTTTTGTTGCTCTACTTTTCAAGTGATCGTTGAGGTCACTATAAGTCTTCTTTTGTTTTTATGGACTAATCTAAAAGTACTAGGTTCTTTTCTTATAGTATTACCAAATGTGGAAGCAAATAGGTGGAAATCCTAAAAGCCTTTATTTTTTTAATAAAAGAATGTGATGATCTGAAGTTTGATGTTTGCTTAAGAGTATTTTAAATTTAATTTTTATTAGAGAATGAGCAATAAAATGTTTGGGCAGGTATTTCAAAGTACAAATGCTTTTGTGAAGTTCATGTTGATCTCATTAAACATAATACTTTTGTTCAATCATGTACCAAGTGACTGTACTTGTAGAGTAATAATATTCTTTACAATCTTGGACTTCATGACATTCAATTATCAAGGAAAATTATTTGAATCTGAAATAGGAGAAGCTAAATTTTCATGAGCAATATGTGTTTCTAAGCAAGAAAGTATGCTCTGCTTTAATTATCAACATATAGAACCTACTTGGTGACAAAAATATTATTGAGATTTAAATCTATATGAATATAATTTTCAAATGATAATCCTTGCCTTTTATAAAGCTGGTATTATTACTTCAAGCACTAGTGTGCAGATGATCATCAAATACCAAAGAAAAATCCATTTTTCTTGAATCAAATCATTTTTTGCAACTATTAATTTTTGTAATTGTGCTTCATATATTTGTTACCTTTATGTGTGCTGTGTCTTGAACTTTTGCTCAAGAATAATATTGATTGTTGAATATGATAGTCAAAAAAGCACTGCAACTAATTCAACACCAAATTATTTCTAAATCTTTTTAATAATAAGAGACAAATCTTTGCAATATGAGTTATAAAATGATTACTAAATACAAAGAGGTTTTTTTAAAGTAAAAGAATTTTTCATGTGGAGACCATCAATTTTTTACAAAATCCATGTGATATCAACATGAATTAGAATAATTTAAAATTTCTAATTCACTTATATGTACAACAAAGTTATAAGACAAGTTTGTCTTGACATAAACTTTGTTCTTATAGCAAACTTTTTAACCTCAGTTGACTAGTTGAAGTTTATAGACTTTCTTTCAAAGATTAAAATTTCCTTTTCACATTATCCATGAGCTTAAGGGCAAACTTTTTTGCAAAGAAACTCCAAATCAAATTCTTCCAGAATTAGCAAACCCTTAAACAAGATACTCACTAAGATATTCCATATCCTACTCATAAAAGAATAAACGATGTTGTGTGACTTTTTTTGGATTGAATAGGAATTTTGATGAGGTGCATCACTTGTTTTATTATAATTTTATGAAACCATTTCACATATAGTTTTTATAAATTGAATGTTCTAAATTCTAAATATGATACCATGACAATTCTAAGATAACACAAGTATGTGATGTTATTAATTAACAACCACATTCATTACACATATGCATGTAAGTATGTATACTTATGCATACTTAAAAGCTCAATTTTACAACATTGTTTCATTATTATTGATATTGAAGATGTACCCAATTTCTAGTATAATATATTTTTGCATATTCTCTATGACAATGGCACACAGGTTCAACTAGTATGTATACATATATATATATATATATATATATATGTCATCAATTGAATTTAATGATATCCTCTCACACCCTGCATGCCAAACAATCATTTGTTTGTTTCTTGTTTTATCTATCATTCAAAATATAAAATTCAAATCTTGTACATCCTTGCACTTCCTGAAGACCCATTAAAGATATTTAAAGCAAAACCTTAATCAATTTTGAACAAAAATCTAGAAATATGCACAAAAATTACATATGAAAATTTGCACCAAATAATCCATGCTTTCAGGGACTTCATGCCATGCAATAAACCAATTATAAAATCAAGAAAACTGTATTCTAAAACAGTACAGTGAGTAAGGATGAGCTGGGGTTTGTAGAACACACCTCGGTATTCACAAATGCACATTAATCAAGGGAAGACGTTAGCATTCAGCTTCCACGAAAGAGTAGTTCCAGATGCAGGACCTTTGATATAAAACTCAGTTCCTTGCTCTCAGGCCTTCGAAAATTCTATCTAGTGTCTGTGTGGAAGTGGGTTGTGGTGGACTTCTAACCGTGTCATTTCTTTCAGGGGAAAACCGATTTGTTCCTAAGTTCTGCCACCCAGACTTCATTATGTCCCAGTTCACTGGAAACTTGATACCAACTGAGCTATCCAACTGTTGAGGATTTCTAGGCGATGCAGTTTGCAAGTCAGTTGATGCTGGAGGTTCCGGTGACTTCGTTGAGGGAGTCACCCCTCTCGTCAACTCCCCATGTTGCACTTCGAAAGGGTCTCTGATATTGTTACCAGAAGGTTCTCTCTTTGGGATCTTGTGATTGCCACTGGAGGGTGCTTTAGAAACATCTCGAAGTGTGGCGTACTTGGAAACAATATCACTCTTAGATGGGGAATTTTTCACTCGTCCATATTGATAATAAGCAGAGCCTTCGTGTTTATCTGGTGGTGCACTGTATGCACTAATCAAAGATGAGTTCTGTTGCAAGTCCTGTTTGTCAGAAGTTGCCTTCTGCAACACAACGTCTTATCAGTATATTACGGGAGGATTTACGAAACTACGATGCAGAGATGAGCCGAAGGCTGACATATTTAAACAGCACCAGCAGTTTCAGGGCACAAGGCACAAGTCACTCCTATGATTAGACAATCAATGAGGAAGAAAAGAATGTATTTATAATGCTCATTCCCTGGAGATACACATACGTCGTGTCTAACGACTTATTTGGCATGGAAATTGACGGTATGGACCGATCCTCGTGTTGAAAAGTTGCTTCATTTTGAGACTGAACGAAGTCCTCAATTGAAATATTATCGTCACCATAAGCACGAGGTCGAGTAATTACCTTCATATTGGTTCCCTCAGGTTCAACGTCCAATTCAGCGCTGCCAAAGTTGCGAGCTAGGGGCACAACATTCTCTCCTACTACAGCACCCTGCTGAAGCCAAGACCGCTCTGCACGCCAGCAAACATAAATGGGTACAAAAAGAGCCTGAACATACAATACTTCACATTGGTAGTGTAGAACAACCCAAATGCCTCAACCTCAATTTCCACGGTCCACGACAATAGATTCTAACCTGGCAGTTAATATTTTTACTGATGAAAGACTATCGTTGCACGTGAAATGTATACCACTTCATCAAATTTTCACTTATCCACTAAGTGGTGAGAAACAACTCACTCACAACCGACCTTTAACCAAGGTAAATAAATTTGATCACCATTGGAGATTCACATACCTTTACGGAGAATGACAAGACCCAACGGATCAAACCCTTGACCATCTTCAGCGTCACGGCTTCTAAAATATCGCCAGCTGCCGAAGTAACTCATTGTACGGTTCAAGACATTGCTGGCCAGTAAGCCAGTGTAAATTACCATGAATATTGGATAGAAAGTGTTGAATCTTTCATCTCCAATGAAGGGGATTACAGTCATAGAACCCATTTTCTGCATCCACCAATAACGTCACAATCAGCTTCTAAAAAAACTCCAAATTGAGGGAAGTGATGTATCATCTTGTAAAAGACTTTCACTAAAATTGCATTCTAGTATTCAACTTGAAAATCAGGGACTCAAAAGTGAAGCGGGCACAAGATCATAAAACTAATAGTCTCCATCGTCAACTGAATGCTTCAACCACCAAAGTTTCCATAAGGAATTATACTTGCATCCTCAAAAACAGTTTTCTGATCGGTTCCGTCTGCATTCTTGAGCTTGATCAGGCCCAGAAAGTTGTAACAGAGGGGTGCTGCATACCTCGCAATCATCCTGCGATCACAACCAAATACTCTTTCAACGTAAACAAGTCATTGCCCAGCTGTACTAGTCTTAGTAGACCCTTCGAAGGATTATTACACAAATTGACGATACCACTGATGTCGTTCTAACTAGTTATGGGCTAACAAAATACCACACGGAATATCTACAGCATGATAAATATTCTCAATAGCGAGTTATCAGCTATACAAACATTAAATATGGAAGCATTTTTAAGCAATTTGATGTGCAACTGGGATCGCAACGACTTAGTTGCAGTAGTTCAGGTGAGAAATGGCATGATGTCAAATGTTGTTAACTTGTAACCGCCTTCTACTAATTAACAAGGGAGTGAAGTGCTTAAAATTACCTTTCTCGACTAAGGCAAGTACATGAGAAGGAAAGAATGTAAAGGAGTAAGTTATTTTACGAGCAAATCATGAGTAAGCTGACAGAGCTAGTTTGCTTTGGCGCTAGATAATAAATTGTCATCATTCCCAACTTGATAAGAGAAAAATACGTACACACACACATATATGCCAAAGGTACAAATGCAACCACCTGCAGCACATTGCACAAACGTACGTTTTCGCGTAGAATACTGCTCAAACGATACAGTAGCCACGATGTCGTTATCAGACAGAGACAGTTTCCAAATTAGTTCTAACGACTGGAGCTAAGAACTACGATTCGTCTCATACTAAGCCAAAACTGCCTCAACACCTCTTCCACAGGGGTTGAGATTGAAGACATATCTGGCTGAAGTCACATCCACCCATCAGTTCAAAGAACGTCCGCTATGGAATTTTTAAAAAATTGACATTAAAACTATTCTTTTCCATCAGCCTATGAAACAAATATAATAACCAACGCTGTGTCGGTTACAGTGCGAAAGCCATGATGACTAACCTGTACCAGTATTTCTGAATTTCCAACCGCTCTGAGCAGCAAAGACAAGAGAGAAAGATCTGCTTCGACCATAAGGGTGGCTTCAGCCATCACAATTGCAAGAGACATGGTTCCTAGAAATATAGCTGAAATTTTAACCACATACTGTTTAAGTTGCGAGCACCACACATACTCTGCAACCAAGTTCATAATTGAGAAAGAAAATTAGTCGCCGCTACAAAGAAGTTTCAGAAAATCAACAAAACATCTTACTAAATGGCAACATAACTTCACGAGTACCGTAGGTCGGAGTTACAGAGAAATCCAATCGCGGTCAAAACATGCACATCACAATACTGAAGCGATTTGGATGAGAGGGCATGGTTGTACGAATGTCAGTGCTTCGTACTTCGTGCTTCGCATCACTCACATTCAAGCATGGCCGTCATAATAAAACTATAAAAATTGCTCATATGTTCTAACAACAAAACGGGTCAAATTCATCAATAGAAAACTTACCAGCTCTATCAAGAAAATCAGCAAGGGGGCCAGTACGTTGTGGTCGAATTGTCGACACAAATCGCCTGCAACAAAAAGAGAATCTCGAATAGAAAACTATGAACAGATGGCCAGTCATTTTCAATTATAAATCTGAATACAGAATTCGAATGTTAAACTCTAAGACTGCAATGGAATGAGAAAGATCATATTGCCTATCGAGTTTTGTGAATGGAATAATTCTGTTCAAAGACTCGTTTAGATGGTGGCGTGCGACCAGTGCAGGAAAAGCCTGAATAAATACCCATCTGTATTACTCCCCCGCTGAACATTCTTCACTATCTCTTCCAATTCAAGTGCCTCCCAAATATATAACGTGTAGTCACTGATCATTCAGAGAAAAACGAGTGGCAGATTATTATCACCATCAGCAGAATTGACATAAGTTTCTGGGCTTCAGAACCCTCATTGCAAGCTTCTAAGTTACTTAAGCAGCAAAGAGCTTCACTGTGTACAGTTGTCTGTGCTACCGTGATTGCAAAGGGAAACCACCAGCTAAAATATCGAATCAAGTACAGGTAGGACAAGCAGTCATCGACGATCTGATTCATAACTATCGTTACTGCAACAATAAGGCAGGAAGTAACAACTAACACCTTTTGTATCGATAGTACGCACTCTGTGCTTTACGAAGACGCCTTCGAAGTGCAGCCATCGATTTCTCATTCTGATCATAGTCCATATCGTTTTCACCCATTCTTCCACCAGATGGCTTGAATGCTGGGTCTCCCCTATACTGGGATCCTCACAGCCATCAGATTCAAAAGCATAGTGTGCATTGTTGTGGCACCCACAAACAGATTCAATGACCACATGAACAACACCCACTGCGCTCAAACTACATGCACTAACAAACTATCACTTGACTTGCAAAAAACTGGCTTGCACATGATTCAACACGAATGTAGAGACAAACATCTAAGATCGTGCCAATTTGTGCAGAAGATCAACTAATATTCATCTACGAGGCCTTTCTTTGCATGAACTCAAGGGTAAACGCAAAGACCTAACCATTTCCACCATCATGTCATCGATTACATCCATGCATGGCCGTAGTATATCGTGGCTTGGCATCTGATTTGAAGTTGCTTGTGCAATCTATTCGAGTAGACATAAAATAAGATTAAAAGTTGCTCGACAAGATAGCATCCTCAAAGTTTTAAATTCACTCACAAGCCTGAAATCTATAGATGTTCATTTCAAGGCTGACTAACAGAAACTCCAAACAGGGATTTGCCAGAATGGTGTAATGACTATTAATCTTTCAGACATCTAGCAATAAGCCGGTACCTGTTAGAACCAAGGACAATTGAATATAGACTCAAGGGATGGAGAAAATACCTCCCCAAATACAAGATTACTCATTCCATCAGACCACAAGTAAAAGGAAGCTGTCCCGTGTGTGTAACTTGAATCCAAAAAATGCAATTACCAAGTCAGTAGCCTCTTTGAGAGCTTACAACAATTGCAGTGGACAGCTCCTGATGAGCGTCATCCAGCTTGACGGCACATCGTGCAATTTTGTGAGTCAGGTATTTCTGGCGATACTCCATATTTGCATTGCGCCACATGCTTCGAGGGATTTCTACCAGGCCAAAACCCAGAAGAAATGCACCCGTAACTAGTCCAAAAGTGTTGGAGCAGGCAATTGCTAATGCTAGAAGCCCATCCCTGGAAACAAATGCACACAAGGAACAGGGGTTCAGGTGAAATAAATATGTAGAACGGCATTCATAGTTTTACAGAAGCAAGCAGCACCAATCATCTCTGTGTCGGTGCTAGAATGTAAGAAATCGCGAGAGGAGCACCGAACAACAAGAAATCAGGGAGACTCTAGAAATCAGATCACCACTTTCCTGTGAAACGAAATGGTGTGGACCATACCAGTGTAGTTTGTTCATGAAGATCATAATCAGAACCCCCACACTCCCAACAAATCCCACAGCCCCATAAAAGGAAAAGTTCTGATGAATGCTTGTCTTCAGTCTCTTTGACACCGTAAAATCCCCAGCGTCCTCGTAACCCTGTAATGTCGGCACAACAAACCTGCCTCATACGAAAAGTCTAAGCATCATCTGTAATTATGAGCTGAGCATGGTTCAATCCAACAGGAAGGAAAACAAATAGTAAAATTCAAAATGAAGGCTACTTCTAGAATGTGCTGCAACGTACATACCAGGTAAGGTAGAAAGTGCTCCAATATGACCAGCTCCATAATGTAGCAATGCTAGGCTTACGGTCAGGCAAATGAACAGTCTGCCTCGTAAAATTACAACCATCGATAAATCCAAATGACAAGGAGAGAAATGTCTACCAACACATCTAAACAGAAGCTCCGAAGATGATACTCAGAATTAGTCAGTACGCAGAACAACTTGAATTGGAAAAACAAATCAACAACCACGTGGAGGTTCGACTATACACTTAAAAGAATAGTAGAAGATCTAATGGAAAACGATGGAACTTCTGAAACTTAATTCTAGCATCAAGGGCATGATGCCCTTCCAGGTCCAGCTCGTCTCCAAAATACCATCCCTAATAGAGAACAACTACAAGGTGGGAACGTAACCCCAAGGCGGTGAGCGAATGAAGTATATGCTTGTAATACACAAAATGAGAATCTCGACAACAAAAACCCCTACTCGCCAGGTCCTCCAAAACTGAATACACCTCAAAATTTTACCAATGCAATTACATAACTGGATCTCGACTTGTGGGAAAAAAAAATGAACAACGTGTCGTGAATTCAGACGGAGATTTCCAATGTTTGACATAGCCCCAAGCAGTTTAAGAAGGGTATGATCCAAAAGAATGGAATCCAGAAATGCACACATGCAGAGTGTGTACCTGGATACCAACCATCCCATGACCAACAACGCCCTGCTGCGTCGTAAATATTGAGAACAAAAGTGCAGACACTATCTGTTCTGCAGAGTAAAATCCAAAATGAAAAAGAGAGTGTGAAAACTGCTTACAGTCCAGATGTCAGCGGGCACAAGCACGATGATAGAGATGGCGCACAACCAAGCGTAACCTACAACAACACGGACGTGCAAGGGCACAGTGCGGGCAGCGAAGTACTGCAACACACCCGTGACCATGCCCAATGCGATGGGCCCTGCCAATGCATAGAACACCCACATTCTGCACACTCCAGATGACGCTCTTTCCCTTCACCACCACCAATCCAAGAACGGTCGCAACCAGGAACCCTGCCCTCAAGGACCTACTCCAAAGCACCAATTCGGATGCGTCCATCACTCATGCTCCTCTGCGACAGCCATACAGAACCTCTCGCGATTCCCCTTCAAATCTCCACAATCCCAGCGCCATGCCGCTTGCTTCATCCCCCCATATTCCACCACCTCTTCAACGATCAATCACGCCGCAGAACCTTCATATCTCACTAAAGCTCGAAGCTTGCGCCTCGGTACCTTCCCCACAACGGTCCGTCGCGCGTAATTGTGCGCTGCGAGGTGCCTGCCCTCCGACGTGAAAACTCAATCTCATCCCATAGAACCCCAAATTTCGAGACACAACTTTTGTTGAAAAGAGGGATTCAGGATTAACAACGCTGCTGGTTGAAGGTATGATCGGAACGCGGCGATGGGGAGTGGCCCCCAATTCAAGATTTACGAGGCTCGAAGCATCATGAGAGAGAGAGGTTGGTGGCGATGGGCCATCACGCCCTCTGTGCATGGCATGGCATGCAGAAATGCTTGAGACTCGGACAAAACCTCCCTCCGCGAAGATGAACGCACACAATCTACGATTATGCCCATATTTGTCTCCTCTTCATGCTTCTTATTCTTCATGCAATCGTTTTTTTGAAATTTAATTATTTGATTTTCTATACTTTTTTTCAAATCACAGTTTTTTGTAAAAAATCTGAAATTGTCTATCTATGTTGAAATTCTGAGAAGTAGTCCCCTGAAATTAATATCCTCTGACATTTGATACCTTGTTATGGAACAAATGTGGTAATAAGGCATGTAATTAATATCTTTGATATTTGATGTCTAATACGAATATTGAGAATTTTTTAATGTGATTATGGATTTTTTTCATTCTCAACTGAAAATTATTGAAGGGAGGAGAAGGGTTGCGTGAATATGGATTTTTTCATTGTTAAATATCAATTGTGAAAGGAAGTGGAAGGGTTGCACTTTGAAGAGGAGGAAGGAGTCATGTGTCATTGTGCCAAATCTCAATCCTACTCTAATATTTTATATTTTTTGCTAATTATTTCCTCTCTTTGCAATATATCATATAAATTAACAGAGGTTCAATTGTATTACATATAAATATGATAAATTTTAAGATATGAAGTTATTATTTATGGATTTAAATGTATTTTAAATATTCTTTTTAAGAATTAAGATGGTACTAGATATTCATATAATATGTATGTATGTATGTATGTATGTATGTATGTATATTAAAGAATATGTATGTGTATGTGTATATATATATATATATATATATATTAAAATAAGAAGTGTTTGTTTGTATGCTAAACAATTTTCAATCACAAGACAACTTCATGTTGCAAAGAAAGAAAGTAAGGTAATTCAATATTTAGTTGGTAATATTTTAATAGATGTTGCAACATTCCATCAAAGTTGCAATCCTTGTCCATGCCATTGAACCACAATACCTTATTGATCTTGAATATTAAGAAATTTGAGCTTGGAACCCACATGCATTCTTTCTCTGATGCATTTTATTGAATTTGGAGTAGCACTTGCCTAACACATGATGCCCATACACTTTAGCATTGCAGTAGTAATTTTTGCCACTCCTTCATGTCTTATTATACTAAGACTTGGCTACACTTGGCATTTATACTAGCACTTTTATTAAGCTCTTGTTTTACCAACATTACAGGAGCAACATATTACATTGAAATGGCAACAACTATGTAAGAAATTCTTTTAAAAGAAATTAAATTAAATTCTTGTGCCAAATTACAACTATCTTAAAAGTGACAATGGATAAAATATCTATATTAAATAAGATGAACAAAAGACTAGCTATAATTTTTTTATATTTTGCTTTTCAAATATCTTTGGCTTAGGAATTTTTATAACTAATCTATTACAATAGCAATAATATACCATGACAAAGTTAGCAATCTACACAACTACAATATTCTTAAATCTACATCTAAATGACTTGCTTTAATATAGTACTTCCAAAGAAAAATAATAACATTTTATGCTCTTATGTATATGTAATATTACACACAATATGATAGATAAATAATAAAAAATAATAATAATTATAAAGTCATTGTTATTGAAGTTAAAGAGAGTATTTAATACAAAAGTAAATAGACTATTTTTTATTTATAAATAAAAGTATTCTAATAAAAATATAGTAAAATATTGATTATTTCACTAAATATATAAACTATTTTATTATACTACTAAATTTAATTTATCTACTAAAAATTCCCATCATTAATTTTATAAAAAGTATCTGTTACTGTAATATTCGTTTTATTCTAAATTTAAAGTTTAGTTTTAAAAAATTCATGAAGTTTAATTTATTTGTAATTCTTCATCTACCTTCACAATAATTAATGCTTTTAATTAAAATTTACTAACAGATTGTTTATTAATTGAAATCCAATTGACTTGATAGTACATGTCTTATTAGGTTGTATGATAATTGTGTAGGCTTTTACAATTATACAATTTTACCATCAAAAATTAATAGTTGTATGCTATCAAGTGGCAAAGTAGTAGTTACAATCCAAATCGACAAATATATTGTGTTTAGAAGCAGTTGAGATATATATATATATATATATATATATTGTACAACATGTTAAAGTTAATCTCTGATTTATTTAAATGTAAAATATTTTACACAAGTTAAATTACTAATCAAATCATTTTCAAGTATTTTTTATATATTTAAATATTATGTAATTAAATATAATTAATAGTTACTTTTTATTTATTTTATTTTGTGTTCCACTACAGAATTGATCTTTGGTTTGATATTTTAAAATTTTCAATTTTTAATATATATATATATATATATATATAAATTTCTATATCTGGCACCTTTAATGATGATGTTGTTTGATAATTAATTAGGTCCAAACAGATGAAATATTCTAATCACAAATATTATAAATTGTTTCCACAGAGTTCTTATTTTTCCACATTTTGAGAAAAAAATAATGAGAATTTTTTTTTCTACAAAAAATGAATACAAAAACTTAGTAGATGCAATTGATTTTAATTATGAAAATGCAAAAGAGCTATAAAACAATAGTGAACTATTTTTGTCCAAGTTGGTTTAGCCAAAGTATGGACAAAAATAAACCAGCTTGGAAAAAAATAGTGATTTCAAATAAAATCCTCATTTTCAATAAAATTATTGAAATCACTATTGTAATTTTAAAAAATTGCACCAATCCAGACAAGACACTTGGCAGCAGCCCAGTGGACGACGAAGAAGACGAACGCGCAGGACAGAAAACAGGCTCCCCGATGCGTTTAGAAACGAGAACCATCCAAGATTGGATGAACAAAGAGCGCCTCGAGCGATGAGATATCAGCTCCTTCAAAGCAGCCAATAAGCACAGACACAAGTCTGACTGATCCGCAGTGGCGAGCGGAGACGGGGCTTGTAGATTTGGAGGGGGCGTCAATTTCCCTATGAGATAGAGTTTTGCGAGTACTTGCAGAGTGTAACGCAGCGATGGTGAGAGCCAGGGAGATCGGACGCGTGACCCATGAGCACATCATCACCTTGTTCTAAAGCGGCGAGGGAGCTTTACAGTTCCTGGTGAGTGACTTTGTTTTCATAGCACGACGGGGAAACGTTTTGCCTTTCCGTTTGAGAATTTGCAACCTTTGATATGGCTCCTGCCTTTTATTTGTTGCCGAAAGACGACCATGTGGCAGCTGCCGCTTTTTCTTAGTTGGGTGGAGAGATAGTTTGGTGGAGATGCTTCAACCCAGTTGTTGTTGTTGGTTTTAGTTGATGGACAAGCGTGCTGAGTGGAAGGTTCTGGGTTTAAGCTCTGCAGTGCGTTTGCTTCGGGAATTGAAGAAATCGAGGAGTTGCAGGAGGGTCGTGTTGGGATGGTGGGTCGCGTTTGTCAAGCCTGATGCAGTCCTCGTTGTGGAGTTGAAGGCCGGACACCGCTGGTGTGTGTTTGTTTTGAGAAAGAAATATGAATTTTAGGGCACGAACCTGTCTTCCCATTTTGCAGTATGCAAGAGTTCAAATTCTACTCAGATTTTGTGTAGACGATGAACTTTAACCCTGATGTTAGCGGGTCGGAGGGTCATGATCCTGGCACAAACCTATCTTGGACCCTTGCGACTAAACCCTTGTTATGAGTGGAGAATAACTGGGTCAAATAAAATGTCTTTGGTAGGTTTGAAGTGTAGATTCACATGCTTGAATTACTACACGGAATGTACTGGAGAAGGAATGGTACATTGTTCGTCAGGTCATCCCCCACAGCTAGTTTCTTGTGGAAAATGGTCAAGAAGAAATGTAAGTCAACCGAAGTGTAGAATGTTCAGTGATGCAGTGGTTAGAGCGGTTGGCATTTCTCAAACTGAAGGGGAAAATAGGTGTAGCCATGAAGAACTTGGTCGATATGGTATAGACGAATTTGATTACGCTGGTATGAGGTCTCCCCCTCAACGGCCACCAATTTTTGATGAGCGTGATACAAGCCCTGCGAAAACAGTTGCGAAGATTAAGGCTAAGAAGGGTGTAGCTCTGAAGAGGAAGACGGTTCGCAAAACGGTAAGCGAGCCTAAGGATGGAGTAGAAGATACGAAGGGTACAGAAGATCCAGAGCATACAAAAGGTTCAGAGGCTTCTGAGAATGACGAAAGTGCCGAGGCTGAAGGCAACGAGTGGTGTGTGTACCTTATATTGTCAAACGATAAGCGAAGGACGTATATGGGTGCCACAGCAAATATTACTAGGAGGTCTATTCTCTGTCCTATGAATTTAAAAGGAAATATGACTTTTCAGTGTTTTTTTGTTGGAGTTGAGAAGGTGGGTTAGACTGTTCTGCACTACTGGCGTGAAACATGAATGTTTCATTGAAGTAACATAAAGTTTGTCTTGTTTGTGAAGAAACTTCGTTTGGACCTTGAACGCATCTACGATCAGTTGATGTTCCGTATTTTGAATGAGTTATTCAAGAAGCTCGGTTGTGTTAAGATTTGTGTGGCCCGCAGGTTGAGGCAGCACAATGGAGAGCTAGCTGGTGGTGCAAAATCCACTCGAGGGGGTCGTCCTTGGAGTTTAGTGTGCACTATGCGGGGTCTTAGTAGCCGGAGTGAAGGTATTCCTCTTCTTGGTAAATAATAATTTTGGAGATATTTAACCTCGTGCTATCGGAACAATTGGTTGAGAACAGTTTGTATCTGTGAAGTTCGTAGTGGAATACTCAATACGTCTGGAGTAATCGATTCTTGAGTCATAATGGTCGGTTTGGAATCCCTGTGAGGTCTTTTTCAACATTTATGTACAAAGCTCACAATTTAAGTGCAATCTACATATTTATGTAAACGGAGAATGTCATCTCTTCTATAATTGAAGACACTATTTTTTGAAGACAGCGTCTGACATAAAATTTTGAAAACGGAGTGCAGCTCAACAGATCGAGTGGAGATTGAGAAAATTTTCAAAAGAACATTTTGAATTTGACGACGCGCTTTGTGAGGAGGTCCCCGCAAATTACCGGGGCTTAAATGTTGTAGTGCGAAGATGGGCCGCTTTTAAGAAAGTCCACGAGATCATGAAAGATTGGAAACATATGCAAGTTCAGTGGTATTAACAAACGCGAATCACCAAACGGTTGGCAAGGTGACCATGCTGCTTATTTTCGTGACCAAAGCACAATTAGTCTGCTCCTCTATGTCACAAGCAGGTTAGTGATAGCTATATGACAATTACCTCATTTCTTCACATGGTATTTGAAAAAAGCTTTCAAAAAGCCAACTGAAAATACCATTAATCTCGATTAATTTTTAGAGCCTCCAACTCTCGAATCATATAAATTTGGTAATGGTTCCAGTGTGAAGCTTCTCTTTCTTTCTTTCTTCTTCTTCTTCTTCTTCTTTTTTTTTTTTTTTTTTTTTTTTTTTCATCTTCAAATTCTTCATAAGTTCTCATTTTTGTTGTCTGTTGGCTCTGAATTCGTGCAATAAGATGTGGACCTTCTCTCTTTGTGTCGGAGTAATCATTCAGTTACTGGCAGCAAATTTAATTTCTCTTTCCTAGAGTAGACAATTTTCTCCATTCCAAAATGACTTTTGGTTGCAGGAGCGTCCAAAGAAACCTAAGTGCTACCCAGACTCACCTATCTATATGATAGAAGCTGCGGGGTGCTTATTTGTCGGTCAGGGCTGACCTTGTAGTGCATGTGACTCTCTCTCTGTTTGGAATTTGATCTCATTTTGCAATTTAATCATGCATCAGTAGTCAGGGTGTCCTTCAAGTCAGCATTTCCAGACGTCGTGTGAATTGGCAAGTGTGGCCTTGTGGTTTTCAACGGCATGCGTTGTGGTTGCGGAGTGAAGGCTGGAGATATATATTATGCAGCATTATGGAACTGAGAAGCTTGCAATAATCAGGTATGTAGCTTTTCGTAGTGACCTTGGAACTTGAATAGTTCTATTGAACTCGTTTGGAGTGCATATAATATACTCGTGTTAAGTTAACTATTGGATGTCAATTGGGGTGTGGTAATTATCTCTGACATTGTACAATGTCTGATAACACTAGAATAACATTTGAATAAGTGCTGTATATGTGTTCAGTCAATTGTTTTTTTTGAGTGATGTAATCAAGAAATACAGTTCTTTGAAAAGAACTAATGAATGATTAATAAGTTTTTCGAGTTTGGGTTAATAAATTTTATGATTGACTCAAATATCAATGAAATAAATCTAAGTTTTAAAAATTGAATGTAAACAATTTTTTGTTACAATATTAATTTTTTAATATCAAGTTATTATTTGTGGATGGTTGAAAACTTTCATCATACCAATGTTTAGCCAAATACTTTAAAATCCATTAACTTTGCTTATTTATAGTTTTATAATAAATTATTGATATCATAACTCATAATGATGCCTTTGAATAGTAATGAAATATGAGTTGAAGATTGTTCAATTGTTGCAATTTTAGAGATGTTAATAATAAAGATGTTAGGTGTTTTAGTATTAGTTTCAGAATTTATTTGTATGAAAAAAATAGTTGTTTTGATAGAGTAATCTTCATATTGATGCTATTTTATCATTTTCTTAGATGATTATTTACAATTCTTAGATGATTTTGACTTTGTATGTTGTTTCTTAAATTTGGATGTAACTTAGTCATGTTGTTTTTTAAATTTGTATTTTGATTATTTTCACTATATATCACCTTCAACTATATCATGACTTAGTTATAATATTTGAATATAAGTTTACTAGTGTTATTTAATTTCAGTTCATTTATAAAAGAATATTAAGAGGTTTTGTCTATTTTGATGATTATTATAGATTGGTTATCATTTGCAAAGGTTCTATTATTAACTATGTTGTCTTAAAATGTAATCAGATTTGTGTATGCATATTTGAATGTGATAAAAATAATATGATCCAATTATAAAATTTAAGTTCTATATTTATTACAAAAACTAAAAAAACATAATATTTTATTTAAATTTATATATTCAAAAAGTAATGCCAGCATATAATTAAATTTAGATAATTAAACATAATCAAATTCAACCATCTAAATAAACTTTTTTATTGTATGAACTATAAAAGATAATTTTGATACAAATTCATATCATAATTCATGTCATGGAATGGTAAATATAATATTTTCTAATATGATAATAATTAATATTTTTTTGGATTCCTAAATAATATTATTTTAAACAAAATCTTCATTAAATTTATTACATTATATTATTGTAATCTGCATAAAATATGTTATAGAAGTATACATTGAAGTTTAAATTGTATATACACTTAAAAACTTGAACTAAGAGAAATAACAATATTAGCTCAAATATTGACATAGTAAGTTTTTTATTACTATAGAATATGAAATTTCAATCACTATTGGTGACATAAAAGAAAATCAACATAATAGAAATGCAAATATAATTTATTGTAGTCTAAAATATAAATAGACAATTATGTGGTTACTAATCCACTAAATTATATTGACAACTTTTCAATTAAGTGGATTATTCTTGATGGCGTTGTTATATACCTTTATTTCACCAATAATGGTTGTTTGGAGCAACTTCTTTGCACATTTAGATACAAGGCAATTAATATCAATTTTTAAAATTTTCTACGATATAGTTCTCAATGTCTAAATTGTGGTTGATCAATTGGTGGCTAAAAAGTTGTAGATAATCAATGAAGTTAATTACTCATTTAATATTATTGTAGTTCTTTGTGCTTTATGAATCAACAAATTCATTATATAATAATTCTAGATTTAATTTGAAGTAATTATTATAAAGTCAATCATTATAGAACTTCGAAGATATGATTGCATTTGAAATATTTTTATTATTAGCTTTGTTAGAATTCACTCTTAAATTTTATTATTATTATTTCATATAATACGTAAAGTCTAATATTGTAATTTTAAAAACCTCATATTTCTTATACTATAGACTTGTTAAAGTTTTTAAATTTACCATTAAAGCATCACAAATAAGGGATATTTCAATTCAAAATTTTAAAAAATAAAGAAAAATAAAAGTCAACAAAAAAAAATTACAAAGTCAAAGATCTTATATCTAAAAATAAAAATATCATAAAATATTCTAAATATACCATTAGATTTATAGAATTTAAAATAAGAATATAGATCAAATCAAAACTCACAAAATTCTACCCATTTTTAAAATTGATTCAAAGCTCAAAATGCTCAAATATTTAATATGTACAAATCTATATACTTTTAGAACAATTCAATGACATATATAGAATGGATAATCTAAGAATGGACTCAATAGTGTTTTCAAAACTCTTAAAACACCTTTTTATAATAAAATTCAAAATCCTAAAGTCTAAATCAAAGTTGATATATCTTGCAAATTAAGAACTTGCAGAGCAAGTTATTCATATTGAAAGAATTATAGATATTAAATATAGGAGGTGGATAGAATAGGACAAGTTAAAATCTAAATTTAAAGGGGTCAAAAAATTGGAAACATCCATATAGTCATAATTTCTAAATCTTAAACTCATTTTATTATCAATTTATTATATATATATATATATATATATATATATATATATTTTATATTATATAAAATATTATTAGTAATTTTTAAAACTCATGTTTTTTAAACTTTGGACTTATTGAAGATTTTAAACATATTATTAGAATCAAAAGCATCACAAATAAGACAATAAATCAATTCAAAATTTCAAAAAGACAAAATAAATAAAAATAAATTGAAAAAATTATGAAATTAAGGATCTTATATATAAAAATTAAAAAACTTGTAGAGCATTTTAAACTCACCATTAAAGTACAGCCCTCCAAAATATGGACATTTGTCAAATCAAAACTTACCAAATTCTACTTATTTGTAAAGTTAGCTCAAATAAAAATAATCAAATCCTAAATATCTACAAATCTATGCACTTTTAGAACAACTAAAATGATGTATTTAGAATGAAAAACTCATAAATAAATCCAATGGTGTTTTTAAAATTCTCAAATCACCTCTTACAATAAAAGTCAAAATCATAGAATCTAAATTCAAATTGTCTTATCTTGCAAATTAAAAACTTATAAAGCAAGTTATTTATACAATCAAAATTTTATTTTGAAATTAAAATATTTCACTATATATTATTGAAGATATCATTATAATTACACATATAAAAACTATTAAAATTGATAAGTATAAAATATTCTTAAATTAAAAAATTAACAAAAAAACCATAAAATAAAAGTTTCTACATTTGAAAATCTAAAAACTAATAGAACATTCTAATTCCACTATCAAATTAGTATATTCTAAAAATAAATATATATATTAAATAAAAATTAAAATAATATATATTTATAATAATAATTCAAAAACCAAGTAGATTAAATCCTTAATATTAATCAATCTAAAATATTTTAACTTCTTCTTATTATACAATTGCAACTTAAAAACCCAAAATACAAAAGATAAAATCCCAAAACTCACAAAAAATCATCATTTTATAATTTTGATTTTATAAGTGCAAAGTTAAAATATATAAACTATGAGTCATAAAATCAATTAAGCATGCCATTCATTTTATTAGAATTATATATTCTAAAAAAAAAAAAAAATCTTTCTAAAAAAATAATAATAATAAGTATAAAAATTAGGCACATCCATATGATTCTAAAATATTAAACTAATAATTTTGAATTAAATTCTTTTGTCTAATAACACCTTTGTAATTCTGAAATCTAAATCCAAATTTAAAATGTTTTAAAAATTTAAGTAATTAAAGATGCATGATTTGCAACAATACCTTTGACTGAAAGAACATTGTACATCATATTTTTAAACATATTATATATTAAATATTGATTTAAAAAATCAATAAAAATTAAAAATATACTTAAATAAAAATAAAGTTGATTCCTACTTATGTCCAATACTTTCATCCATATAATTGTTTTATAGAAAAATATAGTAAATAATCTAAAATAAAAAATAATTATATTTATAATATACTTATTATTTTTTAAATTATCAAATACTAATTACCGAAATTTTAAAAAATAATATCAAGTAGGACTTACAAAATCTAATAATTTCTTTATTTAAAGCTCTTATAAAAAAAATAGTAAGGCTTTCTTATAATATTTAATTAATATGAATATTAAAGATGTTAAATTATTATTCAAGTTTTAAAAAATAAAATTGATGAGAACATCGATCCTTCTAGTTTGGCATCTTAATAAGTTTCTAAGTTTAACATGATTGGATGTCTTATTGTAAATATTTTGGTTTTTATTATATTAATAAGAATAACGTTAAACATAAAAATAATAGAAAAAAATAGATCTATATAAATACTTGATCTATTTTTATTAATCTATAGATTATTATTTTTAGAATTTTTAGAATTTATACTAAAAATATAAGGCATCTCTATATTTTAATTTAATCTTATATAAATAATATTTTTAAATTCAAATAAATTCAAATACTTGAGAATATATATAAATATATATATTTAAAAAAATATTCATAGAAATTAATATATTAAAATAATATTGGTAGGATGAGATCTTATATATAACTTTCTATTTATGATCAATTTTTTACAACTATAATTTCTACTTAAAATACTTGGACCATATTGTAATAATTATATATTTGAATATTTTTACTAATGATATTTTATATTAAATCTATTTTCTCTCCTAAAATAATTATAATAAAATTATAATTTATTTAAATATTTAATGTTGTTAGCTACAAGTTTTTGTATAAATTTATTTTTTATTATTTTTGACAGACTATTTATAAATTGATTATATTTATTTTAAAAATTAAAGTTTAAAATACTAATAAAATTTTAATTCCAAAATTTTCTTCAAAATTATAACTCTTTTAGGTGATAGAAATTTAGTCTTTATTTTGATGTTATATATATATACATATTTATAAGAAGTAAGTCTGTACAAGAATTAGCATGTTTTAATCAAAATCAAAGATTACTTTTACATGTTATTATTACAATTTATTCTGTTTTATTATATATATATATATATATATATATATATATATATATATATATATATATATATAGATATATATAAAATTTAAATCCTAAAAAAATTATTACGAATGTGTAATTATTTTATTATATATATATATATATATATCAAAATTTAAAATATATATATATAAAATCCAAAATGAACATAATTGCTATTGTAAGAAAATGCAAGAACTTCTTAAATATTGTCACAATATAGCCAATATATTTGAAAATAACATGTATTTTTTTTTATGATGATTAATTGTACTAAATCATTGTTTGTTATTTTGGCCAACTTAAACAATTTCTTTGTATGTTAGAACTTACTTCTTTTTCTAACTTCTACTTTCTTTTAATTTTAATAGCTTATAACATTCAAACATACATATTCCAAGTCAAAGAACTATATTTTGAATTACTACTTTATCTAACTATACTTTGCAATTCAAGATTCTAATATTTGAGACTTTCTTTATTGGTTGTCTTAAAGCAATGCATTTGATTTATCTTTATTTCATTTAAAGGGACAAGCTTTAAATATCTTCAATCTACTTTATTTAGGTATTAGGTTCTAGTAGCGAGTAGATTACTTTTTAATTTCTATCTTCTACTATTTTCATCTAACTTGTTTTTTTACTTTCCTAAAATCTTTTTTTTTTTTATTTTTTGAGTAAAATTAGATGGATGCAAGTATGTCTTTACAATCCCAAAGGACATAAAAGTGTACTACTTTGCTTTCGATTAAATTACACAAGGTACGTAAATTCAACTTTAATACTATCATAATAATTTTACTCTAGATTTTAACTTTAAGGTGACAATTAGAATCAATTTAGAGCATTAAGTTGAGGGCTTTGTTATAATATTAGTAGCTCTTTGGAATGTTATTAGTATTTTGATTAACTAAAAATATTTCATTAACTCTATTTTTTACTTTATTAAAAGTTTACATCTCTCATATCTCTCATTTTAGCATTTGTGAAGAGCACTCTAAAACCCCCATGCCTAGTATAACCATCAAAAGCTTAAACAACTTTACTTCTTATTTCATCAAGACTTCATACCTCCTATATCAATTATTTCAATATTATTTGAAAATAAAGTTGTAATCCTATCTCATATATAAATGCCCTCTAATCATTAATTTTTATAATATTAATGCTACATCAAGTTTCATTTTAATAATGCTTCAATCTTCATTGAGACTTTTTATTTTTTATATTCTTTATATTGAATTTTTTTGGAAGCATACTAAAGTAAGGTGGTGTAGCTCTATTGATCTTTCATACTACTTGGTTGCAAATTACATTGATTTCTATCAACACTTTCAATGATTTCAACCAAAACAAAAGGCATCCTTTCTCTCTCTTACAAATTTGACTTCCTTCAAATATCATAAGTCACCACCAAATGTATTAGCAACAAATGCAAGAATCTTCTTTTCATTGCAACTCAACTACTAGTATGCCTATATCTTCCAATTTGGTATGTATTTTGATCTGATGCTATCACATCTCTTTTTCAATGGAGTGGTTATAGATTACTTCTCTTACTTCTTAAAGATACATATTAATTCAAATTCTATCAAGTCTAAAGAAAAGTATGAATTTTATTGATTAAAAAAAAGATATATATTATTTGGTATTTCTAAAGTATTTATTTATATATCCTTTAAATACCTACTATATCTAAAATAACCATTGCATTAGAATTTCTAATTCCATTATTTATATTAAACCTATTTTAGACTATGTTTCTCTTTAATTTAACTTAAATAATCTTATTTTTATTATTTAAGGTTATTATTGGCAATCTCCAAAATGATAACTTTATCATATTATTTTGATAATTGTGTTATTTATCATTCTAGTTGCAATGATATATTTTCTTGTGATTTTTCCATCCTTTTTTGTTTGATATAGGATCCTTTTGACATTCTTAACTTAGAGTCACTTCTTTACTACTTTTAGAGATTCTTTACCTTGTGATATGTTTTGTTTTGACAATCATCTAATTTGGGGTTGTTGCAATATTTTATTGTAATACAAATATTAGATAAAAAAGAAATAAAATATTATATTTCAAAAAAACTTAATGAAAAAAAATTTAGCAAATTACTATAGAAGTTTAGATAATAGTTAAGAAAGTAGTAAAACTAATAAGTGTTTATGTTGCCTCTTTGCAAAATAAACTTCTACTTAGTTTGTATGGCTATAAATGAGGAAAAACAAAGTAGATAAGAAAAATAATTAACATAAGCAACTTAAGAAAAGAAATGAGAGTAATTTTCAATAAAAATTAATTAAAAAAATTAAAAATTTTTACCCATAGAGAACTAGTTGTGAATGAGGGTTGAAATTAGATTTGAGATACAAAACCATGCATCTACAACAATTCTAGGATTTTATGAATGATTGGAGGGTGGATTTAAAAGAAAACTAGTGAAAAATTTTGTAGGCATTGATTTTGAGTGATTTGAATTTGTAATGACTTTATAAAGACTTTACAAAGTTAGGATTGATTTGGAATGACTTTGGATTTTTGAGAAGATATAAAGAGTTTATACTTTGGAGAATTGTGTGAGATTGGTAGATAATCTATAAATAAAATATTACAATCACGTGACTATTATTATATTAAATATATGTTGTAAGTTTTAACGTAATCAAATTATTTAATTGAAGAATATTGAATTTTAAAGTATTAGAGTCTAAAAAATTATAGTTTATAAGAATAGTGAGTATTACTAAGATTTGTAGCATTTTGTGGATTTAAATGATAATAATAATAAATATACATATTAGTAGAAGACTCAATTTTAAATAAGTGTGAAAAGTTTGAAAACCATTGGATGGTGATTGCAAGTGATATTAGCACTAGAAGTTCAATGTTAAGATTGTAGAAGGACGCCTCCTAATACTTAAGTATATTATAGAATTTATCTTCTATTTAGTTAGTTCAATCTTTTTAAAATTTTTAATGCTTATTTTTAATTTAGCAATTGAGAGATATAAAAATTTTGAGTTAAAATCTATGATTAATTTATTAGTTATTTAGGTTTCAATCTATTATAAGATTGACTAAGTATTTATCTAGGATTTAAAATTTAATTAGGATTTTATTAAGATTTGATTTAAAATTTAGGATTTCATTAGAAATTGATTAGAATTTAATTAAAGTATAATTTGATTAAAATTTGATTAGAAATACATTAGATTTTTTTTAGGATTTTATTAGACTTTGTTTAGAATTTATTTAGAATTTTATTAGAATATCATTAAGATTTGGTTAGAATTTGATCAAAATTTATTTAGGATTTTATTAAAATTTGATTAGAATGTACTTGGGATTTAATTAAGATTTTTATTTTTGATGTTTCTTTTAAGATTTTTGTAAAATTCTTTATAATTTTTATAGATTTTTTTTATGTTTCTTTTATGATTTCTTGAAGACTTTTTTTAGATTTGAATAAGGTTTGATAATATTTGCTAAATTTTAATTGGGATTTATTTAGAATTCTATTAAAATTACTAGAATCTTCTTATTGCAATTCTCAATTTACCTTCTATAGCCAAATATACAGTGCATTCTCAAGCAAGATTGCACGTAATATGACAATGTTCATTTCTTTGATTAAATTAAGGCTTATGGTTTTAATAGAGGTGAGATTCTTCATTTTTAAGACTTTCTGCTAAATGTATACCTCTTCTTAGGGTCATATAAGTTAGAAGTAAAAATTGTTGTCATCTTTGACATCATCTTCTTGTTTCTTAGAGGCTTGCTATTTCCTTCATTTTTTAGTTGGTACACATACATGATCAAGGAGAGATTATATTTATTAGATTTCCACCAAATAACATTTTCCATCCTTTGAGGCACTATTCCCAAAATTAATTATTCCCAAAATCTATTTATTATTGATATAAGTAAAAAACATATATTCATATTTTTTTAATTTTTATAATTTATATTTTATAAATGATCAATATAATCTTATTAGATTTTTAATTTTATTATCTTTTTTAGATATATATGTTTTCAATTAGAATATAATTTGATATAAATTTGAAGTGATTTATAGCTTTATAATTAGAATAGAATTTATTTATTAAATAATATATAATTTTACGAATTTTTTTGTCTTAAAAGTAAAAAATATATTTTTATGCAATTTATTTATTTCATCGGATTTTATTTTAAATTTTTTACTTTTGTAACGGCAATAACAATTTATTTGACGTGCTTTTGATTAGATTAAATCTTTACTGGCAGTAGCAAAAGAATATTCAAAGTTAATAAAGTATCAGATGATGCCCAGTCTTTGATTAAATTACCCATCTAATCATATATTTGAAGTATTTTACTAATTTTTTAATTGTTAAGAAAATTTATAACATATCTGTTTCCAATCATGTTATTCAGGTGGTATTTCAAAGCAATGACGTTTCTGGGATACTCCAAAAATACATTTATTTATTATTATTTTTCTGAAAATCAATCGTGAAGATTTTATTATTAAAAAAAATAGTTGTAAGAAAGTTATCACTTCAATAAGAATTTGGTTCCAATATTTGTAGCATTTTTCGTTATATCCTTATTCCACGTGATTTGATACTTATTCTAAGAATATTGATTAGATTTAACACATTATATTATCTAAAAAATGCCACCAATAATTTACGTATACATGTGGGATTGAACTCAAATTTTCGAATCACATTAATAGATTTTTATAAAAATCTGAATTGTTTCAAAAAAATTGATCTTGATTTAGTTTATCTTAATTGATTTATTTTAGACTATCTTAGTTTGAAAATAAGTTAGGCAGGCCTAACAAGTTGCTGCCTCTCCATAGATCATTGCGGATTTGATGTAAGAAGAGGTTTCTTCACTGTCAACGAGAGTCCAGTATCAGTGGGTTGCAAAGAACATTCCATCACCAGCAGACCTATATAGCTTACGTCAAATAACCAACTATTAGGAAAAAATGCTACATTCAAGACTTAAGTCTTGTCCAAAGAGTACATCCTGAGGATTTTCGTCGAATAAAACACTACATTACATCATTAGAACTGTTCAGACCACATAGAAGTATGAGCTTCACTATTTCCCAGATGGAGGGTCTTCACATTTTGCTAATCAATACTTGAGGAGGAGAAAGAATTACAGGAGAGAAGTATCCCAGTTGAACGTTACAGAAAGTGATGGTCTCAGCTGAATCAATGTTGGAGCTGACGATTACTGTCTCTTGTATGAGAGCCTATCCGCCTGCATTTTAGGACGGGGCATTAGAACATATCTCAAAGACATCCGAAGACATACAATACTATCAACACTGTCCTTAACCCCATTGTTAGAATTAAATTTTTATAATGCCAAACGACAGCATTACAAACACATCCTAATGCAAAGACCTCAGGCGGCAGAGTTATGTTTGTGCACAAGACGGTTACAAGCTACAGTGTGTTGATTTACCGGGATAAGCATGTACGTAGGAAGCCAAGCTGGATTCGTTGGTATTCCTGCCCATGAAATCTGCAAGTAGGTTCACAGGGTAAGCCTCAGATATTCAAGGTTCTGGGTCACGAATAAAAATTGTGAAATTAGGAATACAGGAGAGAACATACCAGTGCATACTCGCCATGATCAAAGAATCTGGTGTTCAAAATCTGCTCACACAATTACCTCATGAGTCTTAGAAAGTAGGTATACTAATTGATTCACAGGGAGGAAAGTGCAGTCATCAATCAATTGTGGGAGAATAAAATCACGGCAGTGTGTACATTAAAAGAAAAAAAATAAAAAGAAAAAAAAAAAATCACACGAACAGGAAAATGGGCACGCTCTTTACCTCGCCACGGTCTTCATAAATGTAATCTAGGCCAGTGAAGTAAGGGGGATGCCCAACTGATAGATACTGCATCGCGATTTCCTCATTCAGAACATCTGTGTGTCTAAGCTTGCAGAAAGAAGCACATCTCTGCAAATGACTAGATAACTATGTCTTTGGAGCGGAATTCAAGGCAACATACAATGGCTTCTTGTCATATAAAAGATCGGTATGCATGTCACCCAAGCTTAAGTTTGTGAAGAAACGGAAATTACCTCTACACTGTTCAGATATTTTTCCTTGTCAACTCTCACAATCTGTCCTTTCTTCACTGCCACGACGAGACAAATTGATCAGATTTCGAAGAGGCAAACAGACTCGAATTGCAAACGACATAATTAAATATATACGAAAGGTTATAACAAAAATTGATTAGGCATTCCCCGAGAAAGATGATGATCGTACAGGTTGGCTTCGGGGGAGCTTCTTTTGCTGGTGCAATGTCTGCTTTCGGGATTGAAGGTGGTACTGACCCGGACTCAGCTGCAGCAGCTGACACACGGAAGACTCGTCTCTACAGCCAAAAGGAAATTTCCGACTATGAATATATTTAATGTGAAACCGATTCCACCAACACGAGCCACAAATCAACAACAGTTAATTTCTCGCCAGTGCACAGTTCCACAACTGCCGTCTGAGATATCTCAGACTGTGATTAAAGACCTGGTGGAAAATCAGAGATTTGGCCCGTAGTTATAAACCCTTGAATTCTCGGTGCAGTCGGGAGCTAACTAATATTCTCAATGCACATTACAAAAAATGTCAGGCTCTTTCCAACAAGAACCCACGTGAGGAGACTCAAATTTTCTCACGCGTACTATCCCCTCTGACTTTCAGATCACTCCGTTGAGTTCGACTGATCAATTGCTGTAACGAGCTCGATTCCTTCAACCCTACCATTGGCTAGCTCACACTCCAATGTGCCAGCTCCCGAGCCAATGAAACCAATCAGGCGCATCAAAACTTCGGGTACTCCCAACCTGGGGTAATGAAAAGAAAACGCGCGCAAGCTCGACGACACTAAATAACACTCCTGTCAACCTTCATTCATGAAGCGAACACTACCCCACCTTCGAATTCAACAGCAATACCTCAAACTGGTCGCAACGTGAGATTAAACCGCACCTGGGCACGTTTACAGCTGGAGCTTGACCTGCGACCCACAAGCGCAAATGGGTGCAGGCATCTCTGGGTGGAGCTGGCGGGGGAGGAGGCTGGCGCGAAGGCCTGAGCGGGGGCAGCGTGGGTGGTGGTAGTGGTGGAGGTGACCAACGCCGGGGACGCCATCGCCATGGAGACTCCCTGCAACGCTGGGTGGGGATTTCAGGCAGGCGAGATTGCTCGTGTGGACGACGTGAGAGAAAGGGGATCACCACATCCTCAATTCCCTGAGCGACGCGAATTCGGTGAAGTTGGATTCAGGAAGCTCTCATCATCTCTCATTCTCATTCTCTCGTTCTCTCTCATCTCGATTGCTCCCTCCTCGGTCGACGATAATGATGCTACCGCGTCTTTCCGTCTCGGACGCTGTCCTCGCGACGCCACCCGACGCGACGCGACCCGACGCTCCTACGCTCGGACCAGCCTTATCCATTTCGTTTCCACGTAACGTTTGGCCCGAAAAAAAACATCTAAAATATATATACTCTGTTGCAAAACATATGAATGTATGTATGAAAAATAAATATACAAAGACATGTATATTTTTTGTTTTTTATGTGTATAGTTTGTGTTTGGTGGATGGTTACATCTGATTGCAAAGGACTTGAAAAAACCTCCCAAATAATTTTTTGATTAATATTTATTTTGTGGATATTAGTGTAATAGATATTATGACTTTTGAGATGCAACACTTGCAACAAAGAATCTTGCTAGTTATCTTAAATGATTTACATCTGTAATATATTTTTAAAACTTTAAATTTAACTAAGTTGTGTATGTGTGTATATATATATATAATCTATTAGCCTTCTATCACCTACAAATCAATTAGCATCCTGTTTTTCTTTAAAAAATACGTGTTTATAATTTACAATTTAAAATAATTATTTCATAGCTACAAAAGAAAATTTATCTATAGTTTTACAAAAATGTTATTGTTATGAGATGCAATTGTTAACAACATTATTTTATCTTTATTTCAACAATGTAACAATGATGTTTTTAAATAAATTCTTTGAAGCAAATATTTAATACTCAATGATGTAAAAATGTTTTATGAGTAATTCTAAGGTGTTTGTTAATATACAATTAGAAAAGAAAGAAAGAAAATATATTTTTTTATAATTTTTTTTATAAAATATCTTTAAAAAAATTTCAATAATTTATCTTAAGACCTCTTTTATCAAAGCTATGAATCTAAATAAATTTTTGAAAAGAAAATATGCTCATATGTAACTTTCAAAAAAAGAATGTAAGAAAAAAAGAACTAAAATAGAAGATAAAAATAACTTAGAATGATTTTAAAATTATACAAAGAAATTGGAGAATTTTCAATCAAGACTGGAAAACAAAAAGAAGACCTTGATTAAATTAAGAATGTTGTTAGTCCTACCTTTATTAGTCCTATCAACTAAAAAGGCTATGTGGAAGCTTCTTAAAAAACACATGGCTTAGGGCCTAAGCATCTATATTGTAGATTGCATCTATAATAATTTTAAAGATAAACAAATTATAGTAGAAGTCTCCATAGGCATGTGGTTTATATAATTAAATCTAAATATGTAATTTATATCTATTAATATTTTAAAAAAATTCTAAAATAAAATCTAATTATCATATGTTTATCTATTTATACTACTTTTATTTACTAAAATAATATATGCATCTACAATATATGTATATATATATATATATATATATATATATATATTTTAAAGATGAATTATACTAAAAATAATCAAGTTAGTTTACAAGTTGGTAAAGTCTAAAATTTATCAAATAATATTTGCTACAAACCTTGATTTATGCTTTGCACAAAAGTAATTAATATGTCTTTTGAACAATTCATAATATTTTATATCCAAATAAGAAGACTACTAAATTATTTTATCACAATTTAGGATTTTATAATTATCTTTAATAACATGTTAAGAATATCATAAGAAATTATATCCATTTCTGGTAGTATCACCAAGTATTAAGACTCCCTTTGACGGTTATGGCATTATACATATGTATTTGGCTATGTATTTATAAAATAATATGCCTTTTTAAAATATTTGCAATTTAAATCTGACATTTTGATAGTTAAGACAATCTAAATAGTTTATTTGGTAATTTTATAAATGATATTTTTTAAATTAAATATGTTGAATTTTAATTTTACATCTTAATAAATCCAAAAATGTATACATGTTATTTATTTATTTCATAATTTTATAAATTTTTTAAAGTTTTAAATTTTTTATACCATGTCAGTATCAATAGTTGGTCTTTGTCAAAGATATAAATCTAGACAAAACTCAAAAGACAATATATTCATGTATCATTGAAGAATAGAGGGAAAAATAAATAAATAAATAAATAAAAATGACAATAATTAAGATGGCCTCATTGTTATCTCCATACATGTTAGCTACTAAGGAAGTTATGTGTAGTCTTTCTAAAGATTATGTGGTAGGTGAGACAAGTAGCTAACATATGTAACATGTGGCCAACTCACCAAGTCATGTGTCAATTATGTACAACATCTTATGGTGCTTATAGATTCAAATTGCATATAAGAAGAATCTATAATACAACTTAACGAGATAATATCAAACAAATATACTTCTACCTATTTCTACCCACTTCTAATTATTTAACTAATATATGCATATGTTGTAGTCTTTGATTTGGATTGGTATTATTTAATAAATTTTAAAAAACCAATTCCAGCTTATTTTTAAGATCCTTGTATAACTTTCAAGTCTGTTCACTAATATTATATTTCCATCAATTTATAAGATATTCTAAGTAATTTTAATATTATTTTGAATTAAAAAAAAATCTACTTTAAAATTTTAATTTTATTGATTTCAAAAAGAGGTGTTGATAATTTCTTCATTTTCAATATGTCCATCAAATTATTTAATTGAGTAAAACTTAATGGAACATAGTCATTGTTAACTATGGTAGTTACAATTAATATGTAACCAAATTGATTCTTTTAAGTAATAAATGGTTTTAGTTATTAATAATCTAATTTATCATAAGATTAATTCGTATTGATATTATGTCAAAGAAATTATGTATCTTGACACATTGATAAGAAGTTTTATTTTTGATAAAACATAATTTATTTTAATTATTTTTTTTGGTTTTAATTTGTTCTTTTAATTTCTTATAGTTGTTATTTTAATACCTTGTAAAGTTTTAATATTTTTTTTTTAAGAATACTCTATTAGTTGAATTTTTTAAGTAAAAAATATCAAATAATAGATAATACTTAAAATTTAGAAAAATTAATATTTTTTGCATAAAAATGTTTATGTTATTATTATTAAAAAACGTTCTAGCATTTAAAATATTATTCAATTTCTTAAATATATTTGATGGTATATTAAAAATAAAATCTAATATTTGATTTATATAATTTTTTTTATTTATGACATATGAAGAAATAGGTAAAAATAATTTAATATCAACCTTTAATAATCTTTAATGAATATTGAAGTTTGAAGCCATCAAAGTATTTTTGAAATAAATTTTATATGTATTTTTTTATAAAAAATATCATATTATTAAAAAGACATATTTTCTTTAACTTCTATAATATATAAAAAAATCTTTTATGATGAAAAAGGTGGTCTTTTTTAATAATTTTTATTTAAATCACCTCATAAGCTATTTATTTATTAAAAAATATTAGTTTGCTAACATGGTTAAACAAAATTCGTAAAAATAATTAAATAAAAATTAGATTCTTGAGTTTATATATTAAATATGAAATTTCTTTACTTTCAAAAAGATAATATACTATTGATTATATAAAAAAACCTTTCTGTTATGCAAGATAGGATTTTTTAGAACAAACATTCTAAAAAATATAAATTATTTTAGAATGATATGTAAAAAAAAAATATATGTATATGTATATTTATGTATATTTTTTAATATATATTAGATATTAATCTCTCTAAAGATTAAATCTAGTATAAATCTTAGCCTTGCTTTGTTGGTGAGGAAATTCTCATACTAAAAAAAATCTAATAACTTTTAGAAGTTGATTTATTAAGTCCAGAATAGTATGCATATATGCATAAGGATCTCTATTTTTTTTTCCAAAGAAATTATTATAATTCTAAAAGATCTTAAAGCTTAATTATAATTCTTTATAAGCTTTTTGTCAATATATTTTTTAATATAAATAAGTAGTTAATCCAAATGGTAGTTGGATTTCTTTTTAAGATCCAATATTTTATTAAATAGATAAAATGTAGAAAAAATATTGATATTTTATTTTTAATTACATCTTAAAATTCTTTATATTATTCTAAGATATTATTATAATTCCTACTTAGATAAAAACTAAGAGTTGCAAAAATTAACAAGCATTATATATATATATATATATATATATATAAATATATATTGCTTATATAAATTTCTTTATTCCAAAAAATTGATGAAAAACTTTAATAGGCATAAAACAAATTTTATAAATATTTTTTCAAAGATAAAATCTAAGAATATAATATATTCCACCTATTTAAGGATTATAGTTTTTAAACCAAAATAAATCCAAAATGATAGGATTTATTGAAGACTTTATAACATTAAATAATAGTAGACTTTTATAAATATATATTCCACATGTATAATTTTAAATTTTTTAATACCAATATTTTATAATATTTTTATCAAAAAAAAAAGCATAAACACCAAAATCTACTGAAGTAGGCTTAGACAACATAAGGTTGTAGATCCTAAAAAACTTATATTACAAAATAAGCAAAGACTTTAAAAGTTCATATAATACTTTCACAAGAAGATGTTATATAACAATCTACCTAAACAATTATTAGTGTAACTATATGAACTTGTATCAGAATTACATTGGTTGTTTTGTATTTTTGTCTCTCTTTTTGGCTAATGCTAGACAATACAATTTTGTCCTTCACAAACTAACTACTAACTTAATATTATTGACATTAGATTATTTTTCTTCTGATGTGAAAAATTTAAATTATATAACATCAATTTATGTATCTCCTATGTTTGATTGGTATTTGTCATAGACGTTTACAAGCATAGAAGAACCATTGTATGATTTTTTAAAAGAACTCCTAGATGGACATCTCTCTTTTACTACATAGATCCCCTCCTCTTGCTGCCATGCACCTTCACATAAGCAGAGTAATATCATTGTTTTATTATTATTATTTTATATTTCACGACCTTGCTCTCCTGTCCCCTCCCCTAATGATCATATTACATTTTTACCCAAATTTTTGTCTCTTAATAATTTTTGTTGCTGTCTATTATTATTAGTGATTCCCTTATTTATTTCATGATTATGATTTTAAGTACAGTCCAATTATAATATTCAATATTAAAATTTATCAAAAGATCAACACGTTGATAGGTATGTGATATAATTGTTTGAGATCAAGACTGTAGAGTATAAAATAATGATGTGACATTGATATTACTCAATGCAAGGGTGTGTAATAAGGGAGGTGTCTGAACAATAAAAGAAGGGTGTCTAACCAGCATATATATATATATATATATATATATACATATATATTGTTTAAACTAAAACTCAAAAATCAAACATATAGATTGAAATTGCCCTAGGAATGTGTAAAAGTTTTTCAATAAAGGATATTGTTATCCTAAAAACCACAAATACTAATAAAAAATTACTCTTTAAATAAAATCCTAACAACATAACTTAAGATGTTTTGGTAGGATAACTAAAAGGTTGGAGGTTAATGTCTAGTTGTACTTAATTTTACATCAATAAGACTTATTTTAAATTAGGAGAAGTCTTTATTATATTCTCTAGTAAAATTATTTTTAACAATTTTTAAAAATTCTCTAGTAAAATTATTTTTCATAATTTTTTGCTAAAACAAATATGTTATAAAAACATAAAGGCATATTGAAGTTTTATAATATGATTCACTTTTACATCAAATATGACAGGAATACAATCTAAGTTTTTTCTTTATTGAATTCATATAAAGAACAAATATTTTCAATAAAAAATTCAGCGTTGGATCTAAGTTTTAACATAATTAGATAATTTTACTCTTTACATAATTAACAAAGTTTATACATTTTTGTTTAATGTAACTTTAACTTTTTTGAAAGTAATGCTATTCTAGTTGCCTCTATGTGTCATTCCATATTGCAACCAAGTTTAAGTAGATAGCCCTTCAAGTATACAATTTTGAAAAGAAACCAATCTTAAATATAAAATATCCAGAAAAGCATCTTAAATAGGCTAATCTTATTTGTAAATTTATAAATTTTTACGTAGTAACCAATACCATGTTCATCAAATTGAATAATTCTAATTTGAACCTGAATCCTGTAAACCAATCTAAGTTTACCACATGTTTGTATCCGTATTTAACTCAGTTCGATAATTTCTTGTATGTTATAGATTGATGCGAATCACTTAAACCAGAATCATTTTTGACAGATCAGATTGCTGATAATAATCTTTTCATACCAGGCTTAATGCAGTTCCAAAGGACAGCAGAATACATATACAGGAGTAAAAACGGTGACGGTCAAATTGTTGACAACTCAGGTCAAGGGCAGCTCATCTCATGAGCAAGCAGTATTATGTGATACAAAGTATTGCCAATATTCATCCTACGTGTTTATGTTCTCAGCTTATGCTCATGCGTTCTAATTAAACTCTTAATACTTTGCTCAAAAAATTGGTGAAATTTCTAATTTTGGAACAACAAAAAGACTCAGCGTCTCCAAAAAGGCCAAAACTAATCACAAATCATAGAGACTAGCACATAAGGAGCAACTCGAATTGCACCTAAATCAGTCCGAACGTTTGGCTGCTAGGGTGACTCTTTAACTATTAAAAGCGTCATTTGATTTGAACAGAAAGGGGTCATCTGTCCTACACGAACCTGCAATAAACCAAATGAAAGCCTTATAAATCAGCAATAAAGGGAAAAAAAGATTACATATAAGAATTGCTGAAGATTATGCACCGCACGAAAGGTTCAAAAGGAACTAGCTACCTTGGCATCGTACACTTTCTGATAGCTAAATTGTCCAGGGCGCTGGGTGCAGTGTACACGAACATCCCAGGCTTGACAAGACTTAGCACAATGTGACGAGTCCTGAGCTAAAAAATGTTCTTCAAATATATCTGGTCAACAAAGCTGCAGAGACATCTACATACTGAAATGTGGTAGGGTGCATACAGTTCACGTGAGAACAAGGCCTCGAAACTGTTCAAAAGCTGCAGAGGACCTGCCTGGGTTGTTTTGAAAAAATGGTGCCATGGAGCGTGCTAGAACAGGCTTTGGTCCTCCTAAATGGCCTGTTTGCTCGGTCACTAGTTTGCTCAACAAACCATCTACGCCAGCGAAGATAACCCATTGGTCACTTTGCTGCAGTAACTCCTGATCGCATGAGCCCCACAAAAACGGTTTAGTTGAGCTAAATCAGGAGATTACGCTAAACTTTCTGAAATATCTGTGGGAAGCAACTTTGATTTTAAAATAGAAAATACCAATGCAGCACTTTCCATCCAATTTGTGGCAGATCTCATCTCATGGTATTAAATATCTCACTAAATATCAACGGACAAGGAACACAGTGGTTACGAAAATTACATTAACAGATGCATCCTTCTCCCCCAGCACCTGCAGAGTTTTAGATAGCTTCACAATGTAACCAGCATACCTAAGATAACCATCCACATAATGAAACATTGTTAAGTGTTAATAAATTGTAACAGTTTGCTTACAGGAAAAAAATTCCATGTCGTAATCCGAGCAAGCTTAAATCAAATTAAGAAGCCTATAACTGAACTGTATTTAGAAAAAACTAAAATCTAGAAGTAGAAAAGTCTGACGGTACTACAGCGAGCCTGGGCACCAAATAGTGTGACTATACATTCAAGATTCAGAGCAAAACCAAAAAATTACAATAATCAGAAGTCATGTATTAGGAGTAACTCACCCGGGTCTATTGCTCATAACTAAAGTAGCACATTCACTACCAACTTTGGCACAGAGAGTGGGAAGTCCAGTTCCTCCCGCAAGAATAGCTGAGCATACAAGCGTTCCAGGTCGATCTAAAACTGCCTGAATCGAGGACAATGAGAGGGATGAAATAAGTCGCAGCAATTCAATTTCATGCACGTCACTAGAGTTTGCTCAGAACTACACATCAAGGTAAATTGAGTAGTCAAAGTGCGTCAAGTTCAACTTGAATTTCAGTACCTAATGAAATTATCTACTCATGAAATTACCCACTCTACTTTGCAAAAAGATGCCTAATTATTAACCACCCCCAAAAGTAAAAGTAAAAAGCTACGTACTAAATAACGTGCGACCTGAACATGAAAAAATAAAAGATTTTCAAAACTGCTATATTTCGTAAGACTTAGAGGCTTTACACGCTACTTGACAAAAATAATAAAAAACTCCATGAAGCTGACTTTAACTTGTAGAAATGTTTACAGCAATAGCTATAGAGATGTTTTTGACTTATACTTAATTTCACAAAAAGACCAACTTACAAGAAAACATTTGCAGAGGGCCGCTTGCAACATGCTGTTCCAAGGGTACTGGAAGAAGAGGGCTATAAGTCTGCTTGGAACAGCCTGGATGAGGAGCAGGCCATCTATGGCAGGACACCCTGCCCCGAGGAGCTGACCAAGCACATTAACTACGGCTATACGATGTAAACCTGCAGAAGCTTCCTCAGTGCGACGTTGGGACTGATGTGGTGCTGCAGGCAAATCTAACATGAGGGTCAATGTCTTGATGTTTTCCACTACCTCCTTTAGACCCTGCTCAGATCAGCAGAATAAAACCACAAACCTCTGAGTATTCAGTACTTAGACATAAGCTCCATGTCGAAGTCATAGGACACAAAAGTTGAGTTACAAGCATGCCACATTCCTCCAACTTCATACAACTTAGTCGTGGTTTTCAAATTAGCTCAGAACTTTAAAAGCAATTTTTGTTTATAGTGTCTAGCAGAGACCGTTAAAAGAAGAAGCTACACAAAATATGGAGAGAAATTTTTTTAAGTCAATAAAGAATAATTCAGGTGTATAATACCTTTAACATCCAAGAAGGAGTGAAGTCAATTAAAAACAAACCTTTGGAAGTTGGTCAGCAGATGCCCATTCCGGCAACTTTTCTCGGTGAATCTCCAACAAATGAGTTAAGACCCCTCCCAATTGCTTCAAATTCGAAGCGAGCTCTGCTGGTGACATGCTTTTGGTTGCACTCTGCTGCAATACTTGCATCAACAACTCAGCCTGCATCCCAATGATGTCAATACCATAGTTTTTGCGGATGAGCATAGGAAAATACTGAATAAGTTGGTGAATAACAACTCTACGGCCACATCCAGATTGACCAAATTGTCTCTAATAAGAAGAGATCCTAGATACTCCCATACAACTTCAAACCAGGATGGCAGTTGTAAATAAGGATAACGCGATAATGATTGAAATTGACTACATATTGCTTCTTTGTTTCAGAGTCAGGCTTCAACACCGCACGCGTAGTTCATTTATATGATTAGGTCAGTGCGATTAATCATATTGTTGTTATTGCTGAACACGACTTAATCTTCAGAAAAAGACTTACACGCTGCTTAGAGCTGCTATTTACTCCTTTTAAACAACAGCGAATACTATTCCTTTATACCTATCCTTTCTATCACCCAATTGATACCTACTCTTCTTGTTGCTCAGTTAATACCGGCTCTCCCTGCTTTGTAATTAATAGCTGCTCTTCTAGATGCTGGGAACTTCCTACCTGCTCTTCTAGAAGATGGGGATCGCAAGCTCGCTGCCGTTGTGCAGAAGAAAACAAGTCTTGAGCTTCTGGGTCTTCTGGTCCATTTGCCTCGGTGCAATTCCCAATCCATTTGCTTCTTGGAAAGTTTTCCTGCAAATCATCTGCTACAGACAAATCTGATTCTCCTTCACTTGGTTCTTCAACCATATCATACTCGACCTGGACTCATGCAAGAACAAACGTCACCAGGTTATCTCAGATCATCATAAGCTCGTCAACAAGGTACTTATGTAACCCAGCCAAGCACAACACCAACTCAAAGCTGTTGAAGTGAAATGATCAAGTTCTAATGAAATCCTAATAGACCGTGGTAGCAGAATTGACAATCGAATAACACCATTTCACACGGTAGTCAAGCCCAATGAAGGTTGCGATGGAATTTGAGCAGACCGCAAGAAAATTCACAATTCTATTAAAAAATTATAAAATAAAATAATAATCGATGATAAACATATAATCTACACGGAGTTAATTGAAGTTATTTGACTTACCAAGAGCTGCTTACGTAAATGATACAGTCCAGCAAGTAGCTCTCGGCCTTTGCTGCTGATAGGATTACCCTGAAGATTTATACGAAGAAGGTTTGGTACCATTCCAACAGCTAAAGCTCCCGTTAAAAAGCTCATGCCTTCGTCTGTAATCACATTGTTTGAAAGATCGATAGATGTCATCGACGTATTATCCTTCAAAGCTGCAAAGAGCTGCACCAAGTCCAACAAAGCCCCTGCAATCGCTAATAAGCTAATTTTTACATGTAAAGAGACATCATTCATTATCACCATTAAAGCACACAGAAAAATAAATGAGTCAAAATTATGGTGCACGAAAACATTATTTAAACACTGGAATCTAGCGTTGAATACCATCAACAAGAATAGCAAGGTATCATTTGGCCGAAGTGTGAGAATGTCGCCCTCACTTTCCGTATACGACTGTCGGTGATGCGACATTTGCTGAGTTCCATCCATAGATAATTTTCATCATTCTTCATTGTCTCCAAAGTCAGTGCGAATCTGCAATTTTCATGAACCTTTCAACTTAACCGGCTGATGATTACAAATCTACGGATTGCAGGTTCCGTATCCAGAAAACTCCACATTGGGAAAAATGCAGAAATCTTCTCACACATCAAGTTGCATTCGTTGAATAATCAGAACATTCGTGGAATCGAAACTCATTCAATCCCTTACGCAGAGAAGATAGTATATACTCAAAATAAAAACAAAAAACAAAACAAACCTTTTATCTGCGATATCAGGTGGAAGCATCTCCACTCCTGGAACTGGAGATGGGAGAGGCTCCTCTTCCTCAACATCTGTGGTAGTATCTTTCTCCTACAAACACCAAATCAAAGAAATATTGTTAGGGAATAGACTTGACTCTTAGTGCCTCACTGCAAAATGAAGACAAATTCATCAACACTTTCCATGAATAGCTTACAGTAGAAACAACGTACTTCCGTGGAATGGCATACAACCACTGTATTGCTTCCCAGAGATAACAATGTTGTCATTTCCAAAAGGAGAAAAGGACGAGAAAGACATTGAGCTAGTGAGCTGGTTGCTCTTGCTACAGTGCAAATTGCCGCGTAATCATGAAATGCCCATGGTTAGCAAGTAACTCACAACTAACCACAAGAATCTCAGGGATAATGTGGAGCGTATCAGCAGAAATAATATTGACAAATAAGAGAAGTTATACAAAATACAAGTCAAAATAATCATTTTGACAGAACGAAGGAACAAACGAAAGGATCAATATCAAGTGAATTTTAGAGTGACTTTTAAAACAAAAACAAAAAAATAAAATAAAAACAAAAAATAATAAAAATAATAATAACACTGGAAGCCAGCGTAAGCATTGAAGGAATCATAAAAATCCTTTGAAACTCCCACAGGTATAAATCACCACTAATCTCATAAAATATAATGTGGAAGAATTTAACAAACCAAGATGGATCCTATTTCGCACTTCTAAAAATATAGAGCCAAAATCTGAATTACTACCTCACGGAAATTCCACTGCGATCACAATGTAATGAAATAAGCTAAGACACAAGCTAACGTTATTGTCTAATCAATCGAAAAAAAAGCGACATCGGCACGTTACGCACATTCAATGTGCACGATATCCGGACAGTTCTCATCCACCGCCGTAACAATGCCAATCGCATACACTTCCGATCACTCTTCCCGATCTGCGACATTCAAAGCTAACAAAGCGCTTTCGCAACCAGGGGCCTCACCATCGGAAGAAATTCGACGCTGACGTAGAGGACGGCGGAGGAGAGCTGCTCTTGCAGCCCGCAATGATCGCCACCGATCGCGAGCAGCTATGCCTCACATGGTGTCCACAAACAAGGAGACTTCGGTGGCGTGAAGCCGATGCGACATCACAGGAAGGGAATTGTTGACGTCGCGTGCACAATAGACGAGGATGCAGAGGACGCGAGAATGAGGGCGGTGGGCCGTGATTGAAAGGGTATGGTGGAGGAGGAGGCTCTCTCTCAACCCTTCCATTGCAACATTCCTTCTGTCACAGAAGGGAAGCTCGCACGGCCTATGGATGAATGCCGTCATCTCCTGATAAATTCATTCGTATATACGGATGGGTGGGTGTGTGGATGGATGATGGTATCATATGTTTTCATTTGTTTCTCTGAAATTGGCCTCAAAATGTAGTGTGTGAAGTTTCTTTATTTCGATTTTTTTAGTTATTTTTTAAGAGAATTTACGAAAAACCATGAAATGTGTGAAATCCGAAATAATGTAAGCAATTCAAGAATTTGAATAAAACATTGAGAAAAAATTAATGTCTTACAAAATAATTTCAGTATACATGTTCTTTTCCTTTGTTTTCTTTTATATAAATGATAAACATTTGAGATGTTGGCCTTATAGCAATATTACTAAAACTAAAAATTAATAAATAAAAGTTCTTGATGGCATTATACTTTAAAAAAATTTAGGTGTTAGAATCAATTAGAGTGTTTACACTGATCCACTTTTGTTCTTTTGTTCTTCTTTTCTTTTCTTCAATTGTGCATTCTTTGCAAAAGATACCGTATTTTAAAAATCTATGCACACAATGTAACTATTGGAACAAATTATTTATTTGCTGTCGGTTACAAAAGCTATTTTCAAAATAAATTCTTGATAATATGAGCATAAAATTTACTTTACTTTTTGAAATGTGTAACTTTTTTTGTTCTTTAATTTTGTTTCGTTCTAAATAAATATTAAAAAATAAAAAAACTTGGAATATTTTTTTAGATTTTGAATTTTTTATAAATAATATTTGAAGTTTCACAGTGATTTTTTCACACAACAAATAAATTGTAAGTATAATTTTATTGGCAATCATCAATTGTAAAATATCTATTCTTGTTAATATCATTGTTGAAAATGCATTTTTGCAAATATATAATATATAGATGTTCTATCTATAAAGTTTAACACAGGATATTCAGAAATAATCTAGTGACAAGACGTAGTTGTTGAAAATATACATGCCACAATTTAAAACAATGCCGAAGATTAGATTAAAAGTTATAAAACCCCAAAAATAGAAGCATTAAACTCACAAAAATCATACTTGGGGAACCACAAAAATTTAAAGATCAGGTTCAATTATTTTTCAAACCATGTTACAAAAATATATTTTACGATATTCAATGTACAAATGAAATCTCTAAATATGATAAGATAATGAATCATAACCAGGTTCTGTTATATCCTACTGCTGAAAAATGTGATTTCGCAATTATTCCACATAGAAATCTCTTTTTTACACTTTTCTAGAATGCATTAATAGATGATTGAATAATAAGGAGTTTCTGTTTTGAACACACTGTAACAATTTGAAGGATTGAATACACTGAATTAAAAAAAAACTTATACTTGTATAAAGATGGTAGTTTGTAACTTACAATACTTGTACCCATAGTAATCAAATGACCGCAATGACTAGATGCAAAAATCCGCACACCAGATTCAACCTCATCTTATAACCAAAACATACAATAAACAATTTACAACACACTTACAAGCTTCAGAAAGTGTAATAGTATATCTTAACAATTTTTCATAAATTCTAACGATTTTAACAAGATACTGAATTAATGAGAATTCGCTAGAGAATTGATCGTACAATTGTTCAGAGTTGTCTGATATCCTCGTTCTATTAAAAGAGATCAGTAATGATCTCGACATGACCAAATCTCTACTTACGAAATTTTTTCTACACGTGGATCTTCAAACTTAAACAAGATTATCAACATGAAGGTGCCTAATTGACGAGAGTTGGAATCCTATACATGAAATTTATTCTACACCTGATCCATCAAACTATGATGAGGATCTCATCGTGGAAGGAAATATTTGACGAGAGTTCGGATCGTGTCCAAGGCTCGTGGTCTGCGCATCCCCACACACGTTATGGATTAATTCACTCAAGCTTCTTTTGGATAATAGAGGAACGCTGGTTTTCGGGGCTGAGCGATGATAAGCAGAGGATACAACCGCGACGCCATGACGCTGTCGGATTTCTCCGTCATGTCCAATTCACGAGGGTTTCGGTCAATCGTCAGTCAAAGCTGTGCACACGGTGTGCAAGAATAGGGGGTGCGTTGATGGCGGCGAGCGACATGCCAGGGCAAATGCGCCGGCCTGCAACTTACAATACTTGTACCCATAGTAATCAAATGACCTGATAAAAATACTCGGGCTTTAAGAGAATCATACTTTGTTGATGAAAAGATACATCTCCTTCTTTTGATGCAAGATAAGAATGTTTAGAAAGAATGTTTGACAAACCTTATTATTTTTCAAGTCGATATGTCATCTTGAAATCAAACCTTAATAAGGATACATTCCAACAAGCTCTCAAGGACATACACTAGAAAGTTGTAGAAGATTTTAGAAGGTTCTAAAGAAGCTTTGTAGTTTGTAGAAGCTACTTGAAAAGTTTTCAAGCTCGTAGAAGGTGCTTGAGAAGCTTCCTAGTTTATTGAAGCTACTTGAGAAGCTTCCTAGCTTATGGAAGCTACTTGAGAAGCTTCTTAGTTTGTAGTATATATAGGAGCCGAGATTGAGGGGATCCTTAGTCTTGACAACACACCACTTCAAGTTCTAGCTCATCTCTCTAGTGTTGTTTTTATACTCATCTGATTAATCTAGTTCTTTCTGATTCTTCTTGAGCTTCTTGTTTAGATTTTCAATCAGTATTCTAAATTTGTGACAGTTTGTCAAGACTACACTCATCTTTTATATCAAAGCTAGTTCTTTCTTATTGGAATGTGGATTATCCCTCTGCTTGAAGGTGCTGGCATTTTAGAGGTTGCAGATTACCTTCCTGTAAACTGATATTTCTTCTATTATAATATTGGAGTCTTATCTTTCTTGGAGAGAGTGGATTATCCATCTTTTTGAAGCTTTTAAGGTGCTTTAGAAGTTATGGAATACCCTCCTCTAAACCAATACTATCTTCTTGTAGAATTATTTCTATCCTTCTCTTAGAATGGCCTGAGGTCAAGATATTAGTATGACTGAAAGTTCAGAGTCCAAGTTGGATGCCATTATGTATGCTCTTGCTACGTTATCATGGAAAATTGTAGAGATTGAAGGAATCATTGCAAGACTTCATAATGATGGAGCATCCGAGATGGCATAATCGAAGATTCATGAGCTTCAAGCTTCAGTATCAAGAGAAGCAGCTTTACCTCTAATTCAACAAGAATCGTTGGTCTTACAACAAAAGGAGCTCCAAATTAGTCTTCCGGATAAGTTTGATAGTACACGTTCCAAGTTTTGAGGTTTTGTTAATCAAATTAGATTGATAATAGCTTTACAGCCAGAATGCTATCCGACGGAGGAGTTATGTGTTGGACTTGTTGGAACTTTGCTCACGAGGCAAGCTCTATCATGGTTTGCTCCTTTGTTTGAAAAAAGATCGTCAATTTTGAACAACTTTGAAACTTTTTTGGAAGCGTTTGCGGAAGCATTTGGCGAATATGACAAGGCATGATGGGCTACAAAAAAGATCCAGTCGCTATGACAAGGGACATGCTCCGTGTTAGTCTAAGCATCATATTTTAGACAATTAGCCTGAGGCATCAATTGGGATGAGGAAGCATTCATGAGTCAATTTTATTATAACTTGAGGGATGACGTGAAGGATTTGTTATTATCTCTTCTCAATTCGTGAATGTTCAACGAAGCCATTAGCCAAGCTGTGAAGTGTGATAACTGCCTATTCCAACGTCGTGAATACCAACGCTCAAGACAACATACAGCTCATCACGTTGTCATATTACGTGAAGTCTTGCTTGAGAATGCACCAGAGACCTGGCTGTGGAAGGTAAAAGAAAATTGAAACAAAAGGTCTTAACAATCCAATAGGATTATAGAGAAATTATAATTAAATGTTAATAATCATAATCAAACATTAAAAAAGCTCAATTAAATTTTATTGAAGTTATAAAAGAAACACAAGAAAATCTTAAAGAAATATAAAAGAATATTAAAGAAAATTTAGTCAAACCCTAACAAAAATCTAAATAAACCTTAAATTCTAACCAAATCCTAATCCTAATCCAACCTTAATCAAACCCTAGACAAACTCTAAACATACCCTAGTCAAATTTTAGATAAATCCTAACCCTAACAAATCCTAATCAATTCCAAATCCTAGTCAAATCCTAGTCAAATTCTAACTCTAAATCCTAACCAAATCCTAATCCCAACCAAATCCTAAACCTTAAACCCTAATCAAATCTTAATCCAAATCAAATCCTAATCAAATCCTAATCCAAACCAAACCCTAATCATAGATTTGAAATTTAAATAACTAAAGATTGAACCATTGATTCTAATTCAAAATTTTCACACTTCTTGGAATTTAAGTTAGCAACGAGCACACAAATTTTGAAGAAAATCGCACTTACCAATTAGTTGATGACCTCAAAATTTTGCTCGGATGTCGGCCAGCCTTTCCTTCTCCAATCTGATGCCAAACTTCAAGCACCAATATCTCCTTTTTCCACCATTCAATTGCTTCCAAATTTTACTTACATATAGAAAATCAAGTCTTCTACTGATAAAACTAAAAATCTCTCCAATCCAACTAGTAGATTGTTAGATATCTAAAAAAACCTTACTGGTCCTTAAAACCCTAAATCTCAAGACCTTAGCCCACAAAAACCTTCATATGTATCGATCTAGCTATTTGATTGATCTCAAATCTTTTATACACATTTACAACAAGCATATCAATAAGTTTCTAAATTTTCACCTGTAAAAATTCTACAAAAGATACAAAATCCAAAAATTTGTAAACTAGTTTTATTTCTCAAAGTTCTAAATTCATAGAGAACATCACTCTTTTTGAAAATCTCTCAAAAATCCAATACTGAACCAAACGATACAAAATTACCTCTCAAAAATCTCTCTACAAGTCTGTCCTCCAATTCAGCTCTCCGATCTCCCAAAGAACCCTTGA